ATCAAATATGTATGGTGGGTAGTGGTTGTTATTTTTCTTTGTATATGGTATTATTTTAAAATATTTTATTGTCATATTCTTTGATTCAATTTCATTTTTACTGTTTTCGATTACCATTGTTATAAAGATGATTTTTCAAAAGGTGAACTATTTTATTTTAGTTGTAAACTAATTTGATTTTGTTAGTGCAAAATTATAGGTCTTCTGGATCAAAAATGTGTTAAGAAGAAATGAAAGAGTTTCTGAGCATATTTTCTTGGAATCTAGGATTATTTACTTGGATTCTTGAAGCCCTGGAGGTACATTTATATCATTTAACTGATATTGTTTTTGGAATTAGGTATGCATTTAACCTTTTTATTTATCTAGGATTCTACAAGGGGTGTTCTAGCTTGCTTAAACTATGACATGAAATTGGAATTAGGATTATTTGATGAAAAAGAATTATGGTAACTTGAATACTTAAGTAAGTAATGCTAGAAATGTTGGAAATTGGTCAGATGTAATTAAGTATTTCTATATAATTACAAAGAAAATACAACTTGAAAGTATGTTACCAATATGTGAAATGCAAAGAAGCTTGGAATGGAATAACTAATTCCATCTTTGAACAAAATGAAAATAAATGCAAAATTTTAGTTAAATTAATCCAAGAACCCATGTTTGAGGCTGTATAACTCGATCTTTAATGTAGGAAGGCAGGTAATTCTTTGCTTTAAATTGTCGCCAAAACAAAAAATAGAACATAGCAAAAAAATCAAACTAATCCGACTTAATTTGAGAGAATTATGTGTGTTTAAAGTTGAGTAAAGTTCTGCACAAAGCTGGAAAGTTGTGTTTAAAGTATTCAGGTGTCATTTTTAGGGCTGCATAACTTGAGTTATACATATCCAAATCATTTCATTATTGAGCCAAAAATTTAGTCGGGAATGAGAGGAAGGGGCAACAAGTTGATTTAACTCATATGGATATCGTACGAACAAGATACGAGAGTTTAAAGTTGGCTACATGCTAACTTTTGGTGCTGTCAAAAAATGAACAACTTGACTTTTGTTGACATTTTGATAAATTTGAAAATTTTTAATAAATTGAATGGAATTAATTTAGAGTAAGTTAATAAAATGTGAGATATAAGATTTAACCAAAATATGACAAGTTTCTGTTGAGAAAAATGGAATTTTACTTAATTTTAAAAAGACGTAAAATTATCGAAATTGTATAAAAGACAAAATGAAGAATATATAATATATTGATATCTAAATGTTTGTATGCTTTGGAAATAAAAGTTGGGGTTTTTGAGAAACTGGTTTTGGTAACATGATATGATATTATTAAAATTTGGAAAATTATTATTTAAAAAATAGGGAACATGTGTTCCAATTATTGTTTTTCAACATTTACATTTTCACATTTGAGCAAACATTCTTTATTCTTTCAATCTATTGTTTGCAAATAACTCAAGATTATCATTGAATTTCAGGGAAGGGATGATTTTCTGTTAACCGTTAACATGTGCTTGAAACAATCACAGAAGAAGCATCTTTTATTGAAGGAAACCACTTGAGTTTTTTTTCACAAAATACTTCCAAGTGTTTCCATTATTTGTAAAGGAACCAAAGACAGAGATGTAAGATTCTTATGCTTGAAAAAATGGTTTGAAGTGGTGGTTAGTTTGTTAAATGAATAATCAAAAGAGGATAACTCTGAAAACAACAATACTTGAAACAATTGAAAGTTTATAATGTAAAAAGAGTTTCAGTCACTTATGCTTTAGTTTTTGTGGTCTACAAGTTAACAATGGATCCATTTTTTTATGGATACATCGTTTGGTCAATGTGGATGAAAAGAATGATGATCAGTAAAGGTACAAAATTTAATAAAATTTTATAAATCTTTTACCCATGGTTTCCACGGGTTGTAACCTAGTCTAATATAATTCCAAACGTTAAGCTCTAGCCTCCAAGAATATGAAAATAGTCCTTATCAATTGTGACCTACACAAAATTCTAATAATTCAAAATTACTAAAATATCCCCTTAGATTACTGTGAAAATATGAAACGCCTTAAATTGTAATCATTTTATTATAACAAATTCGTACATTACAAAATTAGTTCATATAACAACTATACCGTTAGAGATCAACCAGATTTCACTTGTTGATTTAAAGGATAATGACTTGAGAAGGTAACGTATTCTATCTTTTGGTCACATTTGGTCACTAAATTATTTTCCGTGTTTTATGAACCCTTGGACTTGTTGAAATGTTTACATTATACCATTATGACCGGGTAATAGTAAGTTTTGCCAGTTTCCGGCGTTGTATCGACCTAACATGAGTTTTCTGGTCATCTTCTCCGGCCTTACCAAAAGTTCTACCAATCGCCACCCCTAATTCAGAAACCCCCAAACATCGACCCCATGATTTCGATTTTTCATCTAAGCGATCACCAAGAACAACCCACCTTCCATTTACGTGATTACCCAGATCATCATTTTCATTTGTAGCATACGACTCCCAACAGAAACTTCTGAATCACGATCCAAAATCGAGCCATTATTGTTGACTTTTCCGGTTCTTCTTCTCCCATCTACCAAAGTTTGGCTTGCAACTAACTCCAACGTTAGGTCTAAGCTTCGAATATCTCTCCCATATCCATATTTGAAACTACATAAACCACAAAAAGGAAACAACCAGGGGCGGAGCCAGAATTTTAGATTAAGGGGGGCTTACTCAATAAATAAGATGTCACATTATCACTTATGTTTTTCGTTTACTGTAACATATCATGCCATTTGACAAATACACTAAAATACTTTAAATAAAAATATTATGAAATAAGAGTCCAAGTAATATAATTTTTTTTCAATAGTCGAGTTATAACTTAAATGGTTGTTGTGGTTATTTTAGAACAAAACTTAATTTGTCTAACAATAAATAAATATTAATATATTCAGTACATGTTCATAAAAAAATTAACATTATACTTTATTTATACCATTTTGAACTTATCTAAGGTACTTTTATAATAATGTAAATAAATAAATAACACAAATAATCTTTAAAAAATATGAATGTTAATTAAATTTTATAACATTTATATTATATTTTTACATAGTCTTTATATTGGTGTTCCCTTCAGTCATCATAAAAAGAATATGGAAAACAATAAATTTTAGATAAGGACAACACATAGGTAAAAGCTATAAACATAAAGACTGTCAAAGTCTATAATCACAGATATTCATATTTGCAAATAACCAAAGGATATTGTTTGTGAGACATAAATAAATACTGATGCACATATTAAAGAAAGAGAGATACCAGATAACGTGAGTTTGGAATGAAAAAATACTCACAGTATCACAGTGAGAGGCTGAGGGCTGTAGACAGCGAGTTGGCATCGACGAGACCTTGGGACGGCCAGGTGAAGAGTCCATCAAAAGAGCACGACAGTGAGCGACTGAGTGGTGTTTCCGACGGACTTATCTTGGGAGGTGATTGCAGGAGGAGGAAGATGATGACGACGGCGGTTAGGTTTCTTAGATTTAGGTTGTTTGATATTTAATTTGTGAAATTGTTGTGTGTTATAAAAGTTTTAAAGAGTCCAAGAAGTTTAGGCTTATTTAGATTACAACATCTAAAATTTTGGTATTGTGATTAGATTTAGGATAGTGATATTCAAATTACCATTTTTGGGGTTACTTAACTAAAATATCGTAAGAAAATATTTGAACTTATTTTTCATACTGTGACCCTTAAAATCCTCAAAATTGAGGGGTGTTATTTTATATTTTCTATGAAAAACTGAAAGTTTTATGTATAGAAAGGAGATCTCGACTAACATTGAGTTTGTTCATTCAAAAGTTAGGGGGGGGGGGGGGCAGAGCACCTGCCAGCCCCCCTACTGGCTCCGCCCCTGGAAACAACGATTGTGCTCGCACTTGCTCTGCCACCGTATCCTCACCCGTACCACCTCCGACAACCCACATCAGCGCTCTATAGTTTTATTTAAGTGAACCTTTCGCCTTCTGGATATCTAGCCTCCAAACCCATCTTAACTGAGAAAAACCCTCTTCTACCTTCCATCGATGAAGCACCCAAGCATCCCCATCAGTGCCTCCTCTCCGACGACACAACTCTCATATCATCCTCCTTCCCCATAGAAACAAAGGGTTTTGGTGGGTTTGAAATCTTGAAAATTCAAATTATTTAAAATCGATTTTAGCAACAATGATTTTTCTGAAATAGATTTCGGTGGTATTTTGCTGAAATCGTTTGTAGCAAATCATCAGGAAGAACACCTTAATTGAAATCAACGATGCATTTGGGGCTTTTTTGCTATGATTCAGCTTCCTTCCTATGATAGTTTAGCATTACTGGAGTTTAAAAAAGAAATCAAGCATTACCCAAGTGGGTTTGTTTTTAATTCTTGGAATGAAGAGTCAATCGATTTTAGTGGATGCCCATCTTCCTGGAATAGAATCATGTGCAATGGTGGTAATGTTGAAGAAGCGGTTGGTAGAACTCTTGGTGAGGCCGAAGAAGATGACCAGAGATATCATCGGAGCTTGCGTCTGCCAGAAATGTCGCGGATCTCAAACCCCTAAAACAGGTTTTACCTGCTATTGCAGATAATAATGATATATTTTAAATAAAAAAACAAGTTTAAGGGTTAATAGTGTACCAAAAAGAGTTAAGTGACCAAATATATATAAAAAATATAGTTGGTTAGGAAAATCCCTTGATTTAATTAAAAGTTATTGGTCCATCATCCAATCCACTCCATGGATGCATCCGTTTTGATTTGTAGCTTTGTATTTTATGTTAAAAAAATCTTTTATTATTACATACTAATACTATAGTTTTACGGTGGCCATATTATGACCATTTGGAATTTAGAATCCCAAATATTTCCTAAAAGGAAAAGAAAAATCATATGTACTTGTAGTTATTGGATTCAAAAATATGTAATCATCTTTCATCCACCAAAATACTAATCACTCTTCATGTTCTTCAATCTCCTCCACCGAGCAACGTCTTGAAAATCGCCGTGAATCGCCGAAATCCCCTTCAATTTCCCCAACAACAATCTCTGCCACCACAACCGAATCCATGGAAATTGACCTTCTTGCCGTCATTACAGACTCATACTCTGTTTTTGAATCTTCAATATCATCACAAACTTCGCTCTCCGAGACATGATTCCCATCCAAATCACCATGGTTCTCTAAATTCTCGATCAGGGTATTTCGATTTGATCCAGTCCCATGCGAAAAGCTCCGATCATTCGGACTCAAATCCACGCTCAAAGTGTTGGACAAAACGCCAGCACGACAAAGTGGGCAATTTGTATGCGATCTTAACCAGGTATCAATACAAGGGATATGAAACGCATGGTTACATTTCGGCAATAATCGTAAAATCTCATCATCTTCAAATTCACTCAAACAAACCGAACAGTCAGTGCCATCAATCATGTTATCGCCTCTATTAAACTTTATTACAGTAATCGAATTGATCACAGATGGTTGAAGGCCGACGGTGGTGATGTACCAGATGGGATGATCAACTTGAAACCCTACATGATCTTCATCGGAAAAATCTTCTGTTTCACTGTAGACTTGTGTGGTGGGGAACTGCCGGAAACGTGTGCAGCATCTTACCATGATAATGTAGTAGCTGATAAAGAGAAAAGCGCTGCCAAGCAGGGCTACTATGATGATAACGTAAGGTGATATGTGGGTGGTAGTGGTGGTGGTGTGTGGAGGTAGTGGTGGTGGTTGCGGTGGCCAAAAGATTTCTGGGTAGCTGCATTTGTAAGGGCATGTTGGACCACAATCAGAACAGGTTGACGTTTGGTTGGAATCTTGTTCCGATAGCAGCTTCCGGTGGTCAATTGCCATTGAGAGGAGGAGGTGATGGTGGTGGGTGAAAGTGGAGGGGGGAGGGGAGGATAAAATTGGAAGAATTTTAGGTGGGTAAATTGGTGAGGAGGATTAATCATATAATTATAGTTTGTGTTATTGTAGGTGGTATGTGTTATTGCAGGTGGTGTGTTATTATCATAACTTCATTGCATGTGTAAAAATTCTAATTTTGAGATTTAAATTCATGAGATATAAGTTATTATTATGAGAACGTCTTCCCAATTCGCCATAAAAATATTCATCATACGATACTGTGTGTTTTTCCTTTTTCTAAAATATTCATGAAGTGAGCTAACTCTTAAAACGAAATTAATAAACACAAGAAAAGAACAATAATTTTTTTTTAGACTGGTCTAAATAACAAAATATTTTTTTTGATAACCAATCATCAATATTTATTTTAGCAAATTTTTTATAGTTGTAAATTGTAATATGCAAACAGCTACCCCTCAAAAGTTATTGGTGGAAGGGCAATATAGCCTTTTAAATATTTCAATGTGACACTCCGTATTGAATCACTACTAAAATATTTGCTTTTAGCTGCCAACAAAAATATTTTGTAGGTAATTTCCATCAAATTTCCAACAAACTTACAATAAAAACGGAATACAACAAAATTCCAACAATATAGCAACATATGTAGAAATAACAAAAAGTTCGTTGGAAAAACGTAGGAAATTTCCAACAAAATATAAATTAATATTTAAAATTACATTTTTGTAGGAAATTTGTAGGAAAAATAAATAGCGGGAAATGAAATCTTTCCCCCCTTTTCTTTTTTGCATTTTCCACATTTTCTTTTATATATTATATTGTTATTATTACTATTATTATTATTATTATTGTTATTATTATTATAATAATACTATTTTATACTATAATTAATACAAATATAATAATAATTATTTTATATTATTATTAATATGAATATAATAATTATTATTACTATTATTTTGATTATTATTGTTATGATTTTCTCATTATATTTATTAAAAAATAGATTTTTTATTATTAGGTTTATTATAATTAATTTTTTGTTACTAATATTAGGTTTATATTATTATTATTATTATTATTCTTGATATCATGAATTGTGTATGTGTATGTATAGGTATGTGTATATGTCTGTTTTTTTTTTACAACAAATTATTATTAAAAAAATTATCCTAGCAAGTTTTTACTCCTGTTCTTGATCCAAATGTATAATTTGCTAAAATCTCATAGAAGACTTGTGTGGTGGAAGATGGTTTAGTATTGAAAATACGATCATTTCTCTCACGCTGGTTAGAATATTACATGAATTAACTTCTTGCACTTTGATGATTTTCCCCCATATATGTATAAGTGTGTGTGTGTGTGTGTGTGTGTGTGTGTGTGTGTGTGTGTGTGTATATATATATATATATATATATATATATATATATATATATCGTTATACCTTAATAAGCATTTAGCCTTAAATGCTGAATTGTAAGAGGTATAACCCTTAAAGCATCATATACAACAACCTTATGCATTGTAGAAAAAATCGATCTTATTCTGTGAATCAGTCAAAGTCGTTTGAACTAATACTCTCTCAATTTCAGCTAACTGAATCGGTCAAAACAAACTTAGACCCACATTATATAGCACACTCCATCGTCTCCGCCACTAACATTTATTGATTTCATCTCTTTTTAATTTATATTTTTACTTGAGTTTCCAAAAGTTTTGGTCTGAATGCAAGTTTTTACTCCTATTCTTGATCCAAATGTATAATTCGCTAAAATCTCATAGAAGACTTGTGTGGTGGAAGATGGTTTAGTATTGAAAATACGATCATTTCTCTCACGCCAAATTGACCAAATAGTGGTTAGAAATATTACATGAATTAACTTCTTGCACTTTGATGATTTTCCCCCATATATGTATAAGTGTGTGTATGTGTGTGTGTATATATATATATCTTTATACCTTAATAAGCATTTAGCCTTAAATGTTGAATTTTACGAGGTATAACCCTTAAAGCATCATATACAACAACCTTATGCATTGTAGAAAAAATCGATCTTATCTTGTGAATCAGTCAAAGTCGTTTAAACTAATACTCTCTCAATTTCAGCAAACTGAATCGGTCAAAACAAACTTAGACCCACATTATATAGCACACTCCATCGTCTCCACCACTAAAATTTATTGATTTCATCTCTTTTTAATTTATATTTTTACTTGAGTTTCAGAACTCCGGTGATGTCTACACCACCATCCTACCGTCTGCTCCAGTTTTTCACTCTCCAAGTAAGATTTCAGCTTCCCGTCACTTTCTTTCTCTCCCTTCTATTCATCTGTTTCAGTCACCATCGTGCATCACTTGAAGCTTGATGCAGTTGTGTTGCTCTGCTACACATCATGTTTCCTCTGTTCTTTGGCTTTTTTTAGGTCTGCTCACTCATCCTATGTGGGTTCTCGCCAGTAACGTCCTTAGATCAATAATTTGCTGAAAATTTGAAAGGTATAATCATTGTTAAATTCATTCACTTAAATTTGAATCTTTCATCTATTATCGATCTGATTTGATTCAATCTTCCGACCTAATATGGAACCTTTTCATTTCTACTTGAGTTCAATATTAGAATTTGAGAATGAGATTTAATTTTAGCTACTGTTTTGACACATATTCTTTTTTCTCTATCATCTTTTTGTGTTTGCCTTTATTTGAAGCCTATCTAAGCGAAGATCAGGTATAGAAATCGGATCTGTTAAAGAAGGCATATATGGGTTTGTAATATTTTTTTGACACAGGTACTCCCTTTTCTCTCTATCCCCTTGAAACCATATCCCACATCTGTGAAAATAACTCGGAACTATGAAGAAGAATGTCAAATCCGTTGCCATAGCTTGGCCAAACAACTTTCAAAACAAGAAAATATGTTACACTTATCACTCTCTATATACACACACAACGATAGAAAATATGAATGCATATATGGGTGGTTTTCTTTCACATACGAAGGCATATACGAGTTTTGCTCTCTTTTCATTCAACATTCCTTTCACTCTCGACCTTCTCACTATTGATTTTACAAAAAAAAATAGTCTAAACCATATGTTTGTATCATTATTTGACCTTTCACTCTCGACCTTATCACTATTGACTTTTGTGATTGTTGTTCTATTGCCATGAGTGGCTAAACTCTCTATTTTGGTAGACCTTGGCTAAAACCCCTGAATGTTTGTGGGTTTTTAAAGGATTTATGCTTATTTATCATTAATCTTATGTCTATGATTCTATTTCATATTTCATATGCTTGTTTAGTGCTTTGATCATGAGCTTGGTACTTTAATAAGCAATTGTTGGTTTGTTTCTTTGGTTTGGCATTGAATCATTGAATTTACTTAGAACAAGGGCTTTATGATGGTAGAAATTATCTCTAGCTTATGAATCATAACTCCTTTATGGATGTGTAAGCATTGACATCCTCTAGGAATTGGGGATTTCTTCATTCTTAAAGCTAATCAACTTCTTGGGTTCAATTGCTTCAATTGGATCTTTGATTTTGATTAAGAATGTGTGTTGTGGGCTTCCCCAACCTCCATACTACCTATGAGAAATCTTGGCATATCATGCTTCATGATTGCTATAACCAATTTGGGGTGAATGATAAGCATCATGTTAAATCCTAATGATAAACACACAAATGTTCATTGTGTTGAATTGCCTTGGTTTACCAATTCTCTCCATATTTGAGAATCTCACTTTCTTCCTTAATTGCAAGTTTTTAGTTATTCAAGTCTTTTAGTTTTCAAGCAATCATAACACCCCCCCCCCCTTTTAGTTTAATTGTAGTTAGTTAGTTTATTTTCACTAGTTCTATTGGATTGCATTGGTGATTGAATACAACCATTTCCCCGAGGATCGATACTCCTTTTTACCATTATATTACGTTTTATTTTCAAACAAAGGGTGTAATTTGCTTGGTGGAATTGACATCCCATCAAGTTTTGGTGCCGTTGCCGGGGACATTGGTTATTGTTATTTGATTGTTTATGCCTAGGTCTACAAGAACCGGTGAACTACTCTACAATCTGGAAATTGAAAAAAAAAAAGCAAAAAGGTTGAAAAAGTTAGCCAAACAAGAAAAGAAACAACAAATAGTTCAAGCTTCTTCCTCTTCTCCACTAATCAACATAGAAGATCAAGTTCATACTTCAAGTGATACCGACACCGAGCCGAGTTCTCCAATTTTTGGTCATTCCTTTGAAGACATTCCGTTTGAAAACTACATAGCCATGAATCACACTTCACCTCACAATCCCAACCCAAACCCAAACACTCAACATACCAATACACCACCCCATCAACCAAGACAACAACAACAAGAACCTCTCATTGATATGCCACCTTGGAATCAAGCCCCTCCTCAACACCAACCCAATTATCAACCTCCACAACCACACAACCAACAATTCCACCAAAACAACCAACCCCAAACCAATGCTTTTCATGTTCAACAACAAGTACATTACCCAAATCAACCCAATTATCAACAACCTCCAATGTACCAAAACCCAATGTACCCACCACAACAACCTCCTTACAACCAATACCCAAACTACCAACCTTATCCACCACCAATGTACAATCACAACCAATACCCATACCCACCTTACCAACAACCACCCAATTACATGCAACAATATCCCAATAACCCCAATCCACCCAATCCCCCTCAAGAGTTGACACTTAGACAAATGATGGAGACGGATGTTACTCACACACCTCTTGCTATTGTTTATCCTGCAAACCGTCGAGGAATTGAATTGAAGTCAAGTTTCATCCATCAACTTACCAAGTTTCATGGATTGGATAGAGAAGATCCTCAAAAGCATTTGAAGTCTTTTTATATTATATGTGTTAGCATGTTGCCCGAAAATGTGACATTGGATGATTTCAAGTTAACCGCCTTCCCGCTCACATTGGAAGATAAAGCTAGAGG